ATCCAAACCAGAAGTCCCCTTGTGCTGTAACTGTTGACACAGTCTGCTCACCTCTGAAGGGCTTATTTCTCTCTCAAAGTCAGTTCATCAAGAATTCTTTTCATCCACTGTTCTTTGCTAGTATCAGAGAGAAGTATTTTTTCTCGGTTTTTCTTGTTACTTTGGGAGGGAAGGTCTTTTGCATCTTTTTACATTCTAATAGAAGCAGAAGGCCTGGTACTCAATTATTTGTTTAAGAAATTGTGCAGGTATTTTAACTGATGCAAAGTTCATTTCAACTTTGTAAGTTTCAACCCTACCTGTGTTTATATACATACTACACAGCAGAGCCTTGGCAAATCTCTTAATTTCTGTCGGCTCTTGTTCCCTTATCTGTAAACAGGAATCATAATATGTACCTTCTGGGATTGCTTTAAGAATTATATGAAAACGCAAGCTATAAAGTGATTATGACTCTAGGTTATTGTGTCCTTACCCAAGTCACCTCACATTTATAGGGCTCATTGCCTTGTCTCTCAAACAATGGAAATGCTGAAATAGATTGTTCCAAGTGACCCCAGATTACACTAATCACACACTGGCAATGCCTTCATTTTGATAAACAGTTGTAGGGTTTTTTTTTTTTGGTTATTGTCTGGCCACATGATTACTGACTTGACCATCATATAGCTACAGGACTTCTAAGTGATTCTTATAGCTACTGATAGTTGTAGGCCTTGGAAAATTGACTTTTTTTTAATAGGCATACATTATGAAACATACCATTGAGTAGGAAAGTCTTAGAAACACTTCCATGTACCTGGTGCTTCTGTTTGTTACACTTGCTTATTCCCTTGGCTGTGCTGTAAGCGTTCTGTTTGATTATTTACCTTGAATACCCAAAGATTTAATAATTTATAGAATTCCTTTTATGATTTGGGAATATGATGGTGGATACATTCTCTTTAGGAATTAATGGAATCACTTTCTTCAATAAATGTAGGTTTTCTTGGTAAATATACTTGTAGAGGCCAAATCTTTTAACTAGCTTAAAATATCAGTTCAGTATTGGAATTGTTTACATGGAAAGTGGTCTGTAATTATTTCAACCTACATGAAGCTGAACTTTACTTTTAAACCATTTATGGAAAACAAGTTTATGGAATAAATATAAATCAGGATTTGTCTTTACTCATAAATTTGTATAAAATACTAGTTTACAAAATCTTATGCATACATTATTTTAGTAAAAGAGGTAGAGGACAGGTTTAAACTTCTGAAGGAAATGAATTATATGTAAGAACTTTAGCAAATAAAATGTGTTATTGACACTAGTAATTACAAGTTGGTATGGCATTGAAAAGGTTGTGCCCACAGTATTACATATTGGGAGGTAATAAAACTGAATAACATTTAAAAGACTTTATAATTTAGATTTCTTACTAATTGAGAGGAGCTCTGGTGGCATAGTGCCTAAGGCATTTGACTGCTAACCAGAAGGCTAGCGGTTCAAACCCACCAGCCACTCCTCGGAAGGAAGGTTGGGCAGTCTACTTCCGTAGTGATGCTGCCTCAGAAACCCAAGGAGGGGTCGCTATGAGTCGGATCCAACTGGATGGCTGTTGTTGTTGTTGTTGTGTGCCGTCAAGTCGGCCCTGACTCATAGCGACCCCTCCTTGGGTTTCCGAGGCAGTATCACTACGGAAGTAGGATTGCCCAACCTTCCTTCCGAGGAGTGGCTGGTCGGTTTGAACCGCCAGCCGTCTGGTTAGCAGGCAAGTGTCTTAGCCACTGGATGGCAGTGAGTGCTAATTGAGACTGGTCTTTTTTGCAGTGAATCCAAATCATCAGGAGGTCTAGAGAGATAGTGAGCTAGGGATGGGTAACCTTGGTTAAAAAAAGATAAGCCATTGTAAAACGATTGAGGCTCTCTGCTAACCAATGGAGCCCTTGTTCATAAAGACTTACTTGCAGTCCCTGTTTTTTGCTAGCTCCTTAGACAAATATTTTTATTTTGTCTAGGTTTTCTTTTATCAAATTAGGATGACCAAGCTGTAGCCAGTGGCCTACTTATTTTTAGTAATGATTTCAATAAAATTACAAAATAAGCAAAATAATAATAATTAGTCCTTTGGAGGACATATTAGTGAGTTGCTATTATGTCATTTCCATCACTTGCTAGATGTGTATTATTTGAGTTGCCTGATAATATTTAGTCTTCGCCAACAAACTATATTCATGCTAAGAAGAAGAAATAAGCAGTTTATCTTTCAGTCTTTATATAATAAATTCTTAGTAATTTATACACACATTAGTGATGGGAAATGCTTAAATGAGGGGAAGCTGTATTCAACATCTCATAGCTAAAATTGCACTACTGTCCCATTAAACCTTTAGGCATACAAACAATGACTGATTGAGCTGGTGCACATCAAATTTCCAGAAGATGTTGAAGATTAGTGCAAGACCTAAAAGTTGGATAATAGAAAGGAAGAAGATGAGGGGGGCAAAAAATGACTCTGCTGTTCTTAACTAACCAACATTTGTTTCTTCTTAGAGGGAAGATAGGTTGGAAAAAACTTTTATGGCCTGATAAAAAGTGTACTGTTATATGGCCATGAGCTCTGGTAACACTGTGATTAAAGCATTTAGCTGCTAACCAAAAGGTAGGTGGTTTGAACTCACCAGCCCCACCATGGGAGAAAGATGAGGCAGTCTGCTTCCATAAAGAGTTACAGCCTTGGAAACCCTATGGGGAAGTTCTACTCTGTCCTATAGGGTTGTTAGGAGTTGTAATGGACTCAGTGGCAGTGGGTTTGGAGTTGTTTGGTTATTATCTGGCCACATGATTTGCTTAGGTCTTTTTTCCAGGATTTTTCCATACTGCCCTGTGGCATACTCCCTCGGCACCACTTAATATCTTCCTGTATTTAAATGCATATTTCCTGACCTCATTGGTACTCACTCACTGTCATCGAGTCAATTCTAGCTCATAGCGACCCCCTTTGGATTTCTGAGGCGATAAATCTTTATGGAAGTAGATTGCCCAGTCTTCCTTCCATGGAGTGGCTGGTGGGTTTGAACTGCCAACATTCTGGGTAGCAGTCAAATGCCTTAGGTACTACACCACCAGAGTGCCTTAATTAGCACTAGGTGTCATCAAGTTAGCTGAGAGGAGAAAGGGAGAGGGCTTACAAGGGGTAGCTTCGAGTTGGCTATTATACCAGCTCTATTTGGGGTGAGCAAAAACTTGCATGAAGCCTTTAGGACAGAAGAGAGGCAAGGACTCACAGAGAAAAAAATTAATTAATTAAAGTCCTGTAGGCCATTGGAAAATGTAAAAGTAGTAAAAAAAAAAAAAAAAAAAAACCATAATGGCTACTAAGTCTACTTGGTGAAACTCCTGGGGGCACTCAGAACAGAATCTATACCCTGAGAACAAGGGGGCAAGTTAGGCAGCTTCTTCTCAAATGTACGCTGCCTGCCCCCCCCCAATAGCTCAGATCATTGACCAATGAAATCCTCGGGTGAGGCTCCTGAGCGATCTTGTCAGTCTTAAAGAGAGTGGTTGTACTGACACCATTCATCTCCAGTTACACAAGACACAGAGCTTTGGCTGCCACAGGGCCAACCTATACCCAGTGTTACCAGCAGAAAAGACTGAGTCTTCATTGTGAGAAATTTATTAAAATAAGAACAAGCATCAGTTATACATAGAAATAGTCATTTGCACTGTGGTACTAGAGCAGAAGAGCAATTTTAAATATATTAAAAAAATCACAAAATATATTGGTTAAGGCACTAAATCCAGTCTCGTTTTCAATAAATACACTTGTTTAAAAAGGCAGTAGTGTGTGCCTCTGATTAAGTGAATGCAGGCACTATAGTATTAAAGATAGTTATATTTTGCTGTGGCCATTGTATGTAGTTTATTCTCAAAATAATTTTCATTAGCTAAGATTAATATTTTTTCTCACAACTCAAAGTATGAGGAAAAAAAAATCACAGTTTCAATGTTTTAGTTTAAGGCTTTTCCAGAAAGACTTATGTATAAAAGGAGATGTATCTTCATATATTCCTTGGCAAGAATGAATTATATAAAATCACAAAGGATCACCTCCCGGAGAATAAAGCCATCAGAGGTTGGATGTCTCAGAACAGCTTGAGTCTTTGGAAAAGTATTTTTTCCAACTGCAATAAAATCAGCTAGGTGTAGAAAATGCTAGACCTTTGAGTATCTAAGAAGGCTGCTTTGTAAGTGCCCTCTGTTGAAGGAGTTTGTTACTCAGCTGAGGGGAGTCAGGCCAGTTCCTGTGTTGTATGCTGTGGACAGAGCACCACACTGGGAGTCAAGTGTCTGCACCCATTCAACACCACCAAAACCAACTGCTGCCAAGTCGACCCTGACTCATAGCACCACCATTCCTTCCCAATGATGCCAAGTCTGTTTTTGTTACAGTGCTCAGCAGCCTTCTGAGCATATGCATGTTCCCTTGTAAAATGGAAGGTTGCACTTGCCCTCTTCTATGGTCCTTTCCAGCTCAAGCACCCTGTGACTCTGTGATGGTGGGAATCGTTTTTTGGTTACAGTTGACCCTGCTGCAGTCAGATAGGCCTAGCCTCTCTTTAGGACACAATGACCACAGTAAAGGGCAAAAAAGCCAACCTTCCACAGCATCTCCAGATTGTTTGAGCCCTCGGTGCAAATCCTTTCATCAAAACACTCAACTCTAAAGTTGCCATTTAACCGAAGTTACATATTACTCATAAAAGGTCATCATGACTTCTTATCAGACAATATAGCTTTCGTGGCAGAAACAGGTTGCATAGATCGCTGAGATTAAATTCACATTTTCACATATTTGGTTTCTGTAGATAGGTCTTCAACAAAGAGATTAGGCAGTAAGGCTCTCTACAGGCATGAGGTAAAAGATTAGCAAAAACCTTGACATTAGCCTCATAGAAGGTGAGAAATCCCCCCCCCCTTTTTTTCTTTCCTGATGAGTTAGAAAGGGCTGCTCATCTAATTTCTTTTATTACTAGTATATGCCCTTGGGAGAGTGCAGGTTGGCAAGACTTAAGCTAGAAAATACACTTCACTTGTTGGCAAGTAAACTAGACATACGGTGGTCAAAATTTTAAGAAATCTGGGCCCTACCTGCTCAGATGCTATAGAGAATACAGCTACTTTCATTCTGAAATGTATACCAGTATTGCTTTCACCTGGTAAGATGTGCTCTCCAAGTTGACTTTAAAAAAAAAAAAAAATTTAAAGTTGACTTTAAATTATAGACAATTTTTATCTAGTTATGAAATGGTAACTTTAAAACCAGTCTTTGAGAAGTGATTGCATACAAAGCATCTAATCACAAAAACAAGAAAGGGAATCAAAGGGCATTTCAGAAAGAAACTCGAGAGCCAAAGGTATTTAGTTGTTCTTTTCCAAGGACCTGTAGTACTCTGTCAGGATTTTCCATGCTTTGGGAGCCATAAAACCATCTGGGGGATTTTCTCCTTCCCGAGCGAGCTTCCTCATTCGAGTTCCTGAGATGAAGTCAAAGTCACTGTGCCTGTCACAAGGTAACAACAAGGAATTCAGTGTAGGTAAGTAACACCTACCTTAAGAATTCCTAGATTAGGTTATGGATTCTAAGACCTACATTTTTGCTCTCTGTAAAATATTGCATCTTCTTCCAAAATGGTCGTTTTGCTAAATCTCCAGTTCAGTAAGGGAACATGCAAAAGAAAAGGGAACTAAAACCAACAGCTGGAAAAGTACATCGTGTTTGGTAAAGAAGAACTAGTTGCTGCCAAGTTAATTCCAACTCGTAGTGACACTATAGGACAGAGTAGAACTGCTCCCACAGGATTTCCAGGGCTGTAAATCTTTACAGAAGCAGACTGCCCCATCATCCTTCTCCTGCAGAGTGGCCGGTGGGTGTGAGCTGCCAACTTTTTGGTTAACAGCTCAGCGCTTACCCACTGTGCCACTAGGGCTTCTCTAGGAGAGTAGT